TGCTGATTGCTTTTATTGCAATGATAAAGGGCACTGGAAGAGAAGCTGCCCAAAATATCTACAGGACATCAAAGATAGCAAAGTGAAGCCATCTTCAGCAGGTATTTACACTATTTCTTCTAATAACTAATTATCTTCTCGTTCATGGGTCCTTGATACAGGATGTGGTTTTCACATCTGTTCTGATTTGTAGGGACTAAAAGAAAGTGAGGAGATAGAGCGAGGAAGGATAAACTTGATCATGGGAAACAAGAAGTCTTCACCAGTGACAAAGATCGAAGTTTATCAACTTTTGCTTAGTAATGATGTTAGATTAGATTTATTGAATTGTTGCTATTCGTCTGAGATGACGAGAAACATTATTTCATTTCATGCATTGTTCAAAAAAGGTTTTAAATATTCTTTTAATGATTTGAATGGTTCAATTTCTGTTTATAAGAATGGTGTTTTTATGTTTGAAGCTTTGCCTTATGATGGTGTGTATGAAACAGTGACTTGTGTTGATAGCTTAGGAAATAGTGTGTTTAATATTGACTTGTCTAATAGTGTAGACAAGGCATGTTTGTGGCATTGTCGTCTTGGACACATCAACAAGAAACGCATAGGCCAACTCCAAAAGGATGGAGTGTTGGAATCATTTGACATAAAATCAGATGATATGTGTGAATCTTGTCTTTTGGGAAAGATGACAAAATCACCATTCACGGGGTCTTGTGAAAGAGGTGAAGGTCTGTTGGACCTCATACATACAAATGTATGTGGGCCCTTCAGATCAACTACAAGGGATGCTAATCGATTATATGTGACTTTCACTTAATCAAACATAAGTCAGAAACCTTTGAAAAGTTCAAAGAATTTAAGCATGAGGTCGAAAATCAATTGGGCAGGAAGATAAAGGTACTTAGATCCGATAGAGGCAGGGAGTATCTTAGTATCGAGTTCAACGACTATCTGAAAGAATGTGGGATAGTCTCACAACTAACTCCTCCTAGGATACCACAGTTAAATGGTGTAGCTGAGAGGCGTAATCGAACCTTGTTAGATATGGTTCGTTCTATGATGATTCGTGCTTCGCTTCCTATTCACTTCTGGGGGTATGCCTTAGAGACAGCCGCCCACATCCTCAATCTTGTCCCTACAAAGAAGGTTGCCAAAACACCTCACGAAATGTGGACGGGGAAAGTTCCCTCGTTAGCACATATTAAAGTCTGGGGTTGTGAAGCTTTCGTAAGACGAGAGACTCACGACAAGCTAGCAGCCAGGAGTGAGAAATGTGTTTTCATTGGTTACCCAAAGCAGTCTTTTGGATATTTGTTCTACAGACCTAGTGAAAACGTGGTCTTTGTAGCACGAAGAGGAGTCTTTCTAGAAAGAGAGCTCATATTCAAAGAGGACAGTGGGAGCACCATTGACCTTGAAGAAATTCAAGAGTTGGCCAATGAAGGAACCTTAGATGACACTAGCACTCAACCAGAGGAAACCGTTCCTGTTGAACCAGTTGATAACTCATTACCTCTTCGAAGATCCACTAGGGTGAGTGTGCCACCTGAGTTGTATGGTTTTCATATTACTTCAGATGGTGACACATTCATCAGTCATTGGACACTGGTAAATTTAGATGAACTAGTTACTTACAAGGAAGCAATGGCAGGCCCAGAGGCTTCCAAGTGGAAAGAGGCAATGGACAGCGAGATTAAGTCCATGTATGACAACCAAGTTTGGAATTTGGTTGATAGTGCACCAGGTCGTAAGATAGTTGGGTGCAAATGGATCTTCAAGAAGAAGACAGACATGGATGGAAATGTGCACACATTCAAGGCTCGACTGGTTGCAAAAGGTTTCACTCAAACCCCAGGGGTTGACTATGATGAGACTTTTTTGCCAGTAGCCAAGATTAAATCTATTAGGATATTGCTCGCCATTGCTGCCTTTCATGACTATGAAATCTGGCAGATGGATGTCAAGACTGCTTTCCTTAACGGGAAGTTGGCTGAGGATGTTTACATGAATCAGCCAGAGGGTTTTGTTGATGCAAAGTTTCCCAATAGAGTGTGCAAGCTTGACAAATCCATTTATGGATTAAAACAGACATCTCGAAACTAGAATCTTTGCTTCCATGAGAAAGTCAAAGAGTTTGGTTTCTCTAGGAGTGAAGATGAGTTTTGTATGTATATCAAGGCTAGTGGGAGTATAGTGACTTTTCTGGTGTTATATGTTGATGACATATTATTCAATGGTAATGACATTCCAACCTTGAAAGAAGTTAAGTCTTGGCTTGGAAAGTGTTTTGCCATGAAAGACCTTGGAGAAGCTGCCTATATTCTTGGGATTAGAATATTGAGAGATAGAAAGAAGAGACTGATTGGACTCAGTCAAAGTACATACTTGGATAAGGTACAAAGAGGTTTAGTATGGAAAATTCCGATAAGGGAGAGTTACCTATCCAAAGCAATACCAAATTGAGTAAGACTCAATGCCCGAGTACAGATGAGGAAATAGCTGACATGAGTCGTGTACCTTATGCTTCCGCTGTCGGATCGATCATGTACGCTATGAAATGTACTCACCCTGACGTGGCCTTTGCTTTGAGCATGGTTAGTCGCTATCAGGGAAACCCGGGTAGAGCTCATTGGATAGCAGTAAAGAATATACTCAAGTATTTGCGAAGGACAAAGGACTTCCATTCTCAATCTGGCTGGGGTATTTTCTACTGAATGGAGGAGCGGTTACTTGGAAAAGTTCCAAGCAAGATACGGTGGCTGATTCTACCTGTGAATCAGAGTACATAGCGGCGAGTGAAGCATCTAAGGAAGCAGCTTGGTTAAAGAACTTCATCGGGGATCTCGGAGTTGTTCCTACCATCCAGGAGCCTATGGAACTGTTCTGCGATAATGAAGGAGCGGTTGCCTTGACAAAGGAACCAAGAGATCATGGTAAAACCAGACATATCGACAGAAAGTACCATTTTATCAGACATAGAGTAGAAGAAGGCCATCTTGTGGTAACGAGGGTGTCATCTGAAGATAACCTAGCAAACCCCCTCACAAAGGGTCTGAGTAGGGCTAAGCATATTCAGCATGCTCGGAGCATAGGACTGAAAGATGATATTAGTTTTAGTAGTTAGATTAGTTTTGTTCTGAAACTTGTAACAAAGTAAATGTAATTGACTTTTGGTGATTAAATAATAAAGTACTATTTATGAGTTTGTTTACTGCCTTTTGTCAATTGTTTATTATTGTGTTTCATTTTTGCATGTTTTTACTTCCCGAATAATAAGATTATTCAAACTCCACAGTCGCTCGTACTTTTGGAAGTAAGTAGTGAATTAAGACTGTCATGAATTGGATTGTAGATTTTCTAAGGATAGACATGGCAATAGAATTGCTGCAATGTTCATGAGTACTCAGAAATTGAGATTAGAGTACTGGATAAACCCTCGCTCAGAGTATCACTTCATGGAATTCATCACAAGTAATACTGAGACGATAATATCTTATAATCTTGAAACGAAGATATATGAGTTGTAATTCACAAAGTCGGTTATACATTAGTGATACGAAAACGCATCAGTAACTTGGTGTTATAAAACATATTGTCATGTATAATTTGATGAGTAAAAGATACAAGCATATGAGTCAACGTTTATTCGTTCCTTTTGCCCTAACCGGTAAAGCGATATCTGTGGGGCCCTCGATGATTTGGTGTTGACTTATGTGCTGGGCCCAGCCAGGACTAAATTGATGTGTTCAATTAGAAGTCCTACATAATCACAAATCAGAAATCAGGAAACATAGATTCTGGACAAAGAGATTGATTACATTCCATGTCTTATGTCTAGGGATATCTAGCAGAACGAAGGATTATATGATCACTTATCTTAGGACATGTAACTGACTGGGTCAGAGTTCAGCAGCGGCTTTTGGAAGCTACAATTTGCCGATCAAATTTAGAAGTCATACTAGCAATTATAGTTACAGACTTATCCAAGTGGGAGACTGTTGGATTAGGTGTCTAAGCCCATAACTATAATTGGTATGTACTTGAATTGATAGCAGCACAGTCATTTTGGGTTGCCCTCAAACCTAGCAACCGGACAAGGAAATTATGAAAGGAGAGATATTGATTTATTATAAGATTAATAAATTAATATAAATGATTTATTAATATGTTAAAAGATTAATATATTAATTAGAAATCATAAGGTTTAATTAATAGTTAGCCAAAAATTAATTAGAATTAATTTTGGGGTTAATTGTATTAATTATAAAGTGCAGGGACTAGTTTGCAATTATCAGATAGTTGAGTGGAAGGCTCCAGAACCTCCTTGGAAGGAGGTGGACGAAATCTATAGGGGAAACCCTAAGGATTTCGTCCAAGGCTCTTTGGATAAGGCCTTTGGATTAGATTAGGCCCCAAGCAAAGGAGTATTAGGGTTTTCCCTAAACCCTAGATCCCTCAGCTATATAAGGAGCCTCCTGGCTCTCAAAATCGGCCACTCCTTCCTTGGTGAAACCCTAGGGCCGAAAATTGCATACTCTCTCTCTCTCTCTCTCTCTCTCTCTCTCTCTCTCTCTCCTTCTAGTTTCCTTCTTGCTAGCTCTTGGGTGTGATTCCATTAGAGGCATTACAATTGTGGTGCTAAGCTTCCAAGAAGATCAAGATCAAGAGGATTGTCAATTGTTTGCTATAACAATTGAAAGGTATGTAACTCTTAAACCCTAATTAGTTAATTTCGAAATTAGCCTCCTACTCTAGGGTTCTTGTTTTGCAATTCAAAGTTATATGTTCAATAGTTAAAACATAGATCCAAAGTAGGTTGCATGTGAACTTAGGAATTGTTTTTCTAGTTTATTTGTTTTACCTAAAACCCATCAGGTCAGACCTTAACCATGATGTGTTGTTTTTAGTTATGATGCAACTAAGAAATTGTTGATATTCTTTCATTCAGTGGAGTTTGCAAGTCATGGAGGTCATTCGCACTCTCCAACTGGAATAGGTTTATGGCATCCAGACCACCCATGTCCATGTGGATCTCAGATAGTGTTTATGAGAAAGAGCACTACTGCTACCTAGACGACTTTCAAGGAAGGAAGTTCAAAACCCTCCTTCCCAGTTGTGTTGGCAGGAGGTATGTTGGATTAACTTGTGGTTACTTGGTGATGTTAAGTTTGAAAACCCACGACTACTGGCTTGTGAATCCTATCACCAGGCATGAACTTTATTTCCCTCCTATCCCTTATATATCAAATCTTATTCCATTCAGGGCTATCCTGGTCTTTTCACCTTCGGTATCCTGGTGGTTGTTTGTTCTTTTAGAGAGATTCTCCTGTATAATATGGTTTTCAACGGTGGGTAAAGGTGCATGGAATTATGTCTCCTCTGCTTTTTCCATCATTGATTTACATGTTTTCCACGGGAAGATATATGCTCTAAACAACGATTGGCAATTATGTGAGATGAGACTCAGTCTAGACCCCAAATTGACATTACTTGAAATCAAGAATTCTCCAAAGGAACTCTTCTCAGTTTCGATGCTTGTAAGTTCGGATGAAAACCTTTATTTGATGGGTCACAGTTTAAAAGATCCGATTCAGGAACTAGATTTTGGCAAAATGAAATGGGTGCCACCAAAAGAAAAGACAATACGAGAATATGCTTTCTTTCATGGCGACGCGTACATGATGTGTTGGACTGCTATAAAATTAGAGTCGTGGGTTGTTCCTCGGCCACAATACAACATATATGATTGCTTCGTTGAGAAATATCAAAAAGGTAGGTTCTTTTCTTCAAGGATGTGGTACTTCCCTCATGATTGTTTGGATATTAATCTCATAAATTAAGTGATAGACATGTTAGAGAACTATTTATCTCTGTTTTTATCTTTGCATATGTTGGATATTTTCAAGACATGCATCGTGCAACTTATTGTTTAATCAGTTTTGTTTCATGTTGGTATAGCCATCATTTATATCGCCCTTTAAAATTACTTCCATTTTAGCGTGTTCATTCATCAAGAAACTTTAAAATAATAGTTCAATACATATCGATTGAAGGCAAACGGGCAACAAGCTGCGCCGCTAGCCTTTTCTGGATGGCAAAACCAATTCTCTTTACTCCCACGTTGGAAAGCATATGAACTTGACTGAACTGAATGACCAGCCCTGGGCCGGGGTAAAAGAAGAAGGGATAAGATAATCGTAACTAGGGAGAGATAGAATGGAGTTCTTCACGAAGTTTGAGACAAAGGAATAAAAAAAGACTTTCTCTATGGCCTCCTCGTTTTGAGACATTATGGCTTTGGGGTCGACCCCGGTAACAAAGAAGGAATCCATAAAAACTTAGGATCCGACACCATGATAAAATACTACCCTCATAATTAGACCATGTCCCTGAGATTTTGAAAACAACATTTGTGGATCTAGGAGATATGACATTAGAATGCATGACCCGTTGGACTCTATTGAGGAGCTCTCCCGCCTCTGGTGCGAGAAAACCAAATGTATCGAATGCAAAAAGGTACAAACACATGCTGATTTTCTATACATGTATTCTCGTGCTTTACCACTTTGCACGCAGCGGCTTTCAAAGCGGCATGCCCTGCTGTGAAACCCCCGCTCCCCAAACCAACGAGAGGAGAGACCCCAGTAAGATCCACGCACGCATGCTTCCCTCCTATCCATCTAAAGACCAAAATGTCAGCCGGTCTAAGTGTGGACCTTCTATCCTGCGGGTCCGTCAAAAAGTTCACTGACGCTTCTTTCTTCACAGAAATACCAGAACGCCGACAAGCATCAAAGAGAACATCCTGAACCACATCATGCTTGTACTTGAAACCAGGGAGCTCTTTACAATGAACCGCGTGTTCCCCAAAGGTATCCAAACATGCATTGCGGCAAACTGGGCATATCTCGTCAATTGGGAATAGGGGAATCATGAGGCGGTAACGAAGGATAGTTCGGTACTCCACAGGAGACATATGTTGGCCAAGACCATCAATAGGGATAGTTAGCATAAAATCCTGAGCATGAGGTGTCTGCAGACACTCAAAGACTGCTTTCTGTCTGACAGTCATGTCGAAGTCGACTTCCATATCTTGGACGATTTTGCTAAAAAGGGCACACGCCAAAGCTTTTTGGGATTTAGGGGGGGGGGGGGCAGTGTCCTTATTAGTGAAACCGCTACAGTTAAATCCTGGAATCGTATCGCGAAGACGAGTCATAGCACATAGGTAATCCGAGTCCATACCAAATACGCCACTGTCACGTAAGATGTGGTCTTGTAACGCCCAAGATTGGGCCCTCGAGAATACAAATGCGTAAGAGGAAACCTCATATGCCGAGTACAAAACCAAACCACCGAAACGAATAGGTAAGGAAGCCAGGCGCCACTGAATGTCTCCAAAGAAGGGGCTTCCACATACCACCATATCCTCGATAGACCTGCGCAATCCTTTGTCAGAGAACAAAGCTGCCTCTTCTATGTGTACCGGCTGGCATGTCCTTAAACCAAAGAAAAGTTTTGCAATGCCCATACATGATCGGAGCAAAAGGAGCTCACTTTGTGGGTCACATAGTTGTGGAAGAAGGCCCATCAAATCAACAGCATTGACCGCTCTCTTCATGGCCAGCCCACTAATAAACCCTGCGTCTCTGCTAACAGCCCCCCCCCCCCCCCCCAAGGAGCTTCACCCCCAAAGAAGGTCTCCCTATATCCGTTGGGAATAAATCGGCACGAAGCTTCCTACCATCACAGGAGGGCCAAAAAATCTTCGTTTTCTTGATGTTCAACTCAAGACCCAAGCCTGGACCATGCAACCGAATAATGTTCAACACTCTAGCCACCTCCTCTGAATCCCCAATGACAGTCCCATCATCTAGATACCAAGCATGGAGAAGGAGCTTACAATTGTCTCTAATCTTGTGCACAAGCGGGTGTAAAACGAGGGCAAAAAGAAGAGGGCCCAAGGGGTTACCTTGCTACACCCCAGTAGCAGACCATATATGTTGGTCTCCGATATAAAGTCTCGCTGCTTGCCCGTATAAGAAATTCACCTACAAAGAAATAGAAGGGCACATCTTCTTAACCTCGTGGAGCAATGCTGATCGATCCACCAGGTTAAAGGCATTCGAGAAATCCACAGTCAACATTACAAGAGACCCATCAACATGTGGTTCACTCAACACCCTATTGGCACTGTGTAACACAGCCTCAGCATCGCCAGATACACCAACCCCGAACTAAAAATCATTAAGGTACTTGGCCATTTCTTTACCCACACCTTTCATGGCAACCTTGGAAACCAGACGTCTCCATATAGTGCCTACTGCAATCGGACGGATCCCGTTGTCAGGTTTAAGTAGAGACATGAGAGGAGCGGACGCAACAAACTCTGCCAAAATGGTTGGACATCTTCCCGCTAACCATAAATTAACCACTGAAGTGATAGCATGTATGAGATCTGTGGCAATACCAAACCCTTCTCCACAAAGGGCATCTAGTAAGTGTTGAGCCCTCACGCCATCTCTCCCGCAAGATGTTCCTTTAGGGAAGGATTTGATGCAACCAAATACACAGTCAAAGTCTGCTACAAGGGGAGGTTCAGAAATTATGGGGCTCGGCATGGATGGGGGTGGCCTGAAAGGGTATTTGTCCTCCAAAGCTTTAATAGTATCACCATTATATGGTGCAACACCCGATGAGCATAAAACTTTCACTGTTACGGTAAAATGACCATCTGCAACCTTACGGAGACACTGTCTGATGTTGGTGTTACTTGATGTAGACTCCTTCTGAAGGATGCCTCCAACCTGTCTCATAGCTCCAACCTCGGGATTGTCTAACATATTTTAAACTAACTTCGTGATACCATCCTCTTTCCCCCATGTATCCAAGGACTTTAGGATGGAGCTTTGCTGTAAGGATTTTCTATTCCCAGACCTACATTCTTGTATATTTTTGGGTCTAAACACTTGCAGCGTGCAGCGAGGAAGAAGTAACAAACACATCCATGCCTCAACCGAGCCAGGTTGGGCAATCACCTTGTAAAGGGCACTCTTCAAAGCCCGAGAGAAAGCAAGACGACAACTATGGGGGATACTCTTGACAGTAGTGATAGGCTCTTTAAAAATACGATCAAGGAACGCAACATCAAAAACCAAGCCTCTAAGAGCATTTGTCACCGACTCTTTAGTTGACGGCTTTAGAATACCGACAATGTAACGACTCAAGCCGTCACCCCTGTAACAAACCTCGCACGACCATCCGGGTGATGACAATAGTGGCTAAGAGCCTGCAAAGTCATACACTTCCCACACATCCATTGACCAAAGGCCTTCAAGGTTTCTTCCACTGCCATAAATAAACCAACATCACTAGAAAGAGCTTCACGCAACACATATTTACGGTCTTCAGTAGGTAAATGATGACTTTTGATGTGTGAAATCATATGACCAATCCCCTTACTTCCCACTTCACCATTTGGACAACAATGGAAGCTTCTGAACGGGAACAGACAAATATCACTCGAACTTGTGGAAGAAGAAGCCATACAAGAGAACAAGCCTCGAGATGAAGCTAAAACTATGAAGCAATATTTAACAAGGGAAGGAAATGGCACACCAACACACTGTTGGTGTGCACAAGAAGCATCCAAACTAAGCAAACTACATTATCTTGAACAATAAGGCTGCAACACGAGAAAAAACTGGTTTTGGCATTTTATCAAACACTTGGTGGGCAACAAAAATAACTTCTTAGAATTTCATCTTCTTCCATTGAAACATCAACCCAAAATCTCTAATTTAATGAAGATAATTCTCAAAGCATGCCTTACTTATCCCCACCAACAATTCACTGGTATCACAATCATTTGAAATTGAGAATCGAATGTTTGAAGAGAAATCGAAATTGATACTTGATTTGTGTTAAGAGCAAAGAAATTGAGTCGAGTACTGGGATAATTTCGATTGGGTCTCAAAGTGATGATTTTGTTGTCAATTGGATTCGATGTCGATTATCGTTGACGAATAGAAAGGTCTCAACAGTTAATGATTGATTGGGTTAAATCTGGTTGTTTTTTAAAAATCATTGATGGTAATTTGGTGCTCCACGTTTTAATAATCCATGTTGTTTTTTAAAAATCATTGATGGTAATTTGGTGCTCCACGTTTTAATAATCCACAGTCTAGTCGATCTTCTCGCGTGCTTCCATGAAACGTGGTGAAGATCACTGAGTTCACCTACCACATTCTTGTATTCTTTTCATTTAGCTTTTATTATCCTTCCATTGATTTGACAAATGTGTGACAAATGTGTGACAAGATCCATGGAGACGTGCTTCAAAGCAAGTGTCATCTACAGAAAAATCGATTTGGATTTTGTTTGAAAATAGAAATCAGTAGTATCAAAAGCGATTTGGGATCTGAACTGATCAAACTACGATCGGAATTTGTTCATCGTTATAAACATCAAAGTTTCGAGCATCAAAATTGAATACATAATTGGACCGACTCGGAATCAGATTTTACAAATCAAAATCGAAACTTGATATTGTAATCGGAACTATTAGCTTGAATGATGTTCGTATTCGTCTGCAATTTCAAAATGGAGCTTTTAAGTGTGTAAATCGGTGGATTAACAACTTGCAAATTTTAAATTTCATGATTAACAAAAAAAATTAAAACATTTCCTTAACTGCCAATTAACATATACAAAAAAAAAAAAAAAAAAACGTGTTAGTTTGTTTTTGCAAAAATTCCATAGCAAATGCCCAAATGATGCTTTGAGATAAGTTGTATATCTAGTTATCTCATGCTAGTGGCGTGTATCTCATGTAGCATCCATAGTTCATATTCAGTAACTCTTTAGTTTTCGCAGGTTGTGCAAGTGTTTTTTTTTTTTTTTTTTTTTTGGCTGCAAATAGCACTGATGTAGTCGTATGGAGCAATATGCAAAATGATTTTTTGATGAAATTTCAAGAACAAGTTTAAGGCAAACAACACCATTGTATATAAGCTTATGGTATAGATGCCTAGAAAGTAATGTTTGTCTTGTCGTATAAGGTTATGCTACATGAAATTAGTTGTTAATAACTTGTTTTTAATGAAGAATAAACATACAAAAATGTCTCCAAGATGTGAACTTAACAACAAGTTACACAAGATTTCTTTGGAATACAAACATTATTTCATAATTTTATGATTATGAAATAACTTTTTTTTTTTTTTTTTTTTTTTTCACAACGAAAGCCAATATATAACGAGAAACAATGTACAAGCCACAATGACAATAGATAAGATGAGAGTATCCCTTGATTAATGATTTATATAAACTATCTTTGCGATTCAGTTCTCGTTCATAGCTCTTCTTGAATCGATTAAATCAGAGCGTAAATGTTTAGAGAAGTCATTGAAGTATGTTTTCTAATATTGTCTAATAAAAAAAAGGTAACACTGCTTTCGTTCCTTTTAATCTTTCATCAATGTCATAGCTCACAAGAAAGGTTGAATCATATGTTGTGGGAAGTACATGTTGGTCAATCTTGATCTTGGCAATATCATGTTTAGCTCAGTTTCTTAAGATCGTTTCATTTCATTTAATGTTTTTTTTTGTCTTGGTAATTGAGTCATAACTCGTATAATGATATGGAACCGATTATCTTCATCATAATATGCACAAATAAACTGATTTTAATAAGTTTGTTAGATCATCTAGTGTTTATTTGAGTTTGGTATTTTGGTTTCAGGTAAGGTTTTGATTACAAGAAGCATGGCCATAGGTAAGGAGAGATGTTGTGGTTGTAACCTTGTCAAGAATGTGTATTATTTTACAGTTTCCAAGTAGTATTATTTTAGAGCATTCATCACTTCAAGGACTGCTAATTTCCACTTTGATTCATCCACAACTTCCTTAATATTCCAAAGATCTTGAATATTTAAGTTTTATCATTGCAGGAATGATGAAGACATAGGGATGAAAGTGGGTCCAAACCCAGACCGGATGGACCCCGACCCGGAAAACCCGGAATCGGTTAACGGGATTTTGTAGAACCGGAAACCGGACCGGTATATAGGAACCGGTTCCGGTTCGGTTCCGGGTACGGTTCCGGGTAAAGTGGGTCTAGAACCGAAAAACCCGGAAACATCAAAGTGGGTAGGTTGGAACCGGATAAAGTGGGTTTAGAACCGGAAAACCCGGAAAAACCGGAATTTTTTGGTAATTAATTACTAGTTAGTGGGTTGAACTTTGAAAATTTTCATATTGATATCCCGACTTTGGGGGACTGTAACTCATTGAATATGAAACCACAATTAACAAAATCATAGTCTAAAATCATGTACAAACTCTAAAATACACTCTTGAAAAAACCGCATGTCAATCCGACTTTAAACGAATGAGATATGCATGTGTTAACATTTTCACATAATACAAAGTACAAAAACAAATAGCTGAAAAGTTGAAAATTTCCAGTTTTAATATCCCGACTTCGGAGGACTATAAATCATTGAATATTAAACCAAAAATGACAAAATTATAGTCTAAACTCATGTACAAACTGTAAACTACAAGTTGGAAAAAACCACATGTCAATCCGACTTCAAACGAATTAGATATGCATGTTTTAAAACTTTCACCGAATACAAAAAAACTGAAAAACTAAAAACTTCCAGCTTTGATATCTCGACTTTAGGGGACTGTAAGTCAATGAATATAAAAGTAAATATGGAAAATTTATAGTATAAAATCATGTACAAACTCTAAACTACATGTTGGAAAAAACCGCATGTCAATCGGAGTTGAAACGAATGAGATATGCATCTTTTAAACGTTTCACAAAAACCGGTTCCGGTCCTAAAAGTGGTTCCGGTTCCAAACACCGGTTCCAATTTTTTCACCCGGTTTACCCGGATCCGATGGACCCAAACCCGGATTACCCGGAACCCGGATAAAGCCAATTTTTAAACCTGGAACCGGAACCGGTTCTATATATTCCGGTTCTAACGGTTCCGGTTCCGGTTCCGGTCCGGTTTTCCGGTTCTAAATCTCATCCCTATGAAGACAAGAAACCAGAATCATGATGATGATGAAGCATCATCATCTAGCAGGAAGAAGAGGTTCAAGACTTATGACAATGGTGGTGTGGGGCCTTGGTCACACCTCAGCAATGATGTGCTTTTTTTAGTTACCATGCAACTGGGAATCTTTGATTTTCTTTCATTCAGTAGAGTTTGCAAGTCATGGAGGTCATTTGCACTCTGTAACAGGAAGAGTTTTATGGCATCCAAACCACCCATGTCTATGCTTCTCTCCTCCCATGGCTTCTGTTGCCTGGAGGACTTTGAAGGAAGAAAGTTGAAAACCATCATTCCCCATTCTTCTGGCAGGAAGTGTGTTGGATTAACTTGTGGTTACTTGATATTGTTTGGGGAAGAAACCTTTGACTTCTGGCTCGTGAATCCCATCACAAGGCATGAACTTTATTTCCCTGCCTTCTGTTTACCAAATCTATATATGGTCAAGGCTACCCTTGTCTTTTCATCTTCATTAAACGATTGGGTGTTTGTGGTGTCACATAAGAATTCCTTTAACTTGTGGTTTTCTATATCTGGTAAAGGAGCATGGAATCATATCCCCTCGTCTTACCGCATCCTTGATTTACATACTTTCAAGGGGAAGATATATACCCTAAACAAAAACAACGAATATCGTGTGTGTGAAATGTCACTCAATCCAGAGCCCAAATTGACATTTCTTGAAATGAAGAATATCTCAAAGCTATATGTCTCTCATCCGGTGTTTATAAGTTCGGGTGAAAACCTGTATGTGATGGATTAAAGTTCACAAGATTCATGTAATGTTGAGGAACTAGATTTTGGCAAAATGGAATGGGTGTTGCCAGAAAAAAAGACAATTGAAGAATATGCTTTCTTTCTTAGCCCTTGGAATGGTGGTGCTGCAATTAAACCAGAGTCGTGGGCTTCTGCTGCTCAACCCCCGTCAAAATATAAGAGATATGAATATGATTATGAAGGCTTCCGTTACATTACTGATGATAGTCAAAAGGGCGGGTTTTTTGGTGCAAACATGTGGTACTTCCCCCATGAGTGTGTGAATGTTGATCTCATTAATTAGTGCTAGACATTTTAGAGCACTATTCAATATTAGCTCTGTTTTTATCTTTGCATATGTCGAATATTTTCAAGACATTCATCTTGCAGTTTATTGTTTGAACAGTTTGGTTCTTGTTCAATGCTCACCCTTTTGTTTCATGTGGGCACAACTATCATTTGTATCTCCATTTGATGTGTGTGAAACGGTGGATTAAAAACTTGCAAAATTTGAATTTTAAATTGCAACACTGCTAATTGACATGATAAAGGAAAGACAATGTTAGTTGTAAACATCCAGATGATGCTTTGAGATTACTTGTATATTTAGTTGGTTTTATCTTTGAATATGGAAAAAGAAATGTACTTTTTTTAAAAATGGTAACCTACTTATGTTTTATGTAGGGATTAGCAGTTAGTACCGAATTTTGATTTTCGTATCGGAACGTGTACCGAATTTAAACATATGAGATGGTACTCGGTTTTCTAAAATCATGAAATTCGGGAATTTGTATCAATTGGTATCATCGGTACCATTCCTGACATCGGTACCGGTAATGTTAGTTCGGTTCGGTACTCAGTATTGTTTTTTCACCCATTGGTATTTGGAATTCTCAAGTCGGTACCGGTTCTGTCTCATGCTCATCCATAGTTTTATGTATATCTACCAGTCTAGAGATGTTATCTCAACATGTCCCATTTTTTTTTAAAAATTTTATACTTTTGGCTCAGATTTTAAATTTTCTTAAGAATATGGTCCGAACATTGAGTTTTATTACGAATCCATCCAAAATTTAGTTTAATTTACAAATTTATTTTTCTACAACTTTTTTAGATTTTTTTACAATTTTTTTTAAGATTTTTTTTTCTTAATTAGTTTAATGGCGTTTTTATACTCTTTTACAACAACTTTCTAATTTTTATAGAAAAAAAAAATACTACCTGTTATTAATGTTTGTTATACGATTTTAACTAAAAGTTTTTAGAATTTTTTACAACCAATTTTAAGAGTTTTTTGTTTCTTTCTAATTTGTTTACATGTGTTTTTAGATTCTTTTACAACATTTTTTTTAAAGTTTAATAGAAAATTTTACTACTTGTTATAAACATTTGTTATATGTTTTAACTAAAAGATTATAAACTTTCTTTACAAAAAAATTAGTACAATGTTTTAAGTTTGTTTTAAACTTTTATCTTTAACAAAATTATTTTTAAATGTTATAAAAAAGATACCAAAAATATATGAAACGTTTTTAAAATGTGTAACAAAGTATAGAAAGGGTTGTATGAAATTTATAATAAAAGTTAGAATAAAAATGTAAAAAAATAAAAATATAAGTTGTAAGAAAAGTTTAATATTTATAAAATACTTAGTTTAAAACAGATGTATGAAAAAAATTTAAAAAATTAAAACCCAAGTTTAAAATATTATATTAAAAATGTAAAACAAATATATATATATATATATATATATATATATATATATATATATATATATATATATATATATATATATATATATGTGGTTGAGATCGGTTGAGAACTCAAAGTTTCCCGAGAACTAAAAGTGGAGCGTTGGATCAAAAGTAATTCGTTAAGGATATGATCGTCATCTTACCAATCTCATTTAATGTTTAATTTTTTTGTTGTTTTTAATATATTAATATAAATGTCTAAAAATTAACAAAATAACTCAAAATTTCGGATTTATTTAAAAAAAAAAACTACAATTCTTTTAAAAGAACTGTTTTTTTTCTTCAAAAAAAAAACTGTATTTTTTTTCAAAAAAACTACAATTTTTTTTCAGAAAACAATAATTTTTTTAAAAAAAAATCTGCATTTTTTTCAAAAAAAAAACTACAATTTTTGTAAAAAACTGCATTTTTTCAAAAAAAAAAAAAAAAACTGCAATTTAAAAAAAAAAAAAAAACTGCATGGTTTTTCCAAAAAACTACAATTTTTGTAAAAAACCGGCTATTTGTTCAAAAAAAAAACTCCAATTTTATTAATTATCGCTACATATGCATATTTCTTATACTATAATATTCATAAAAATCTTATTTTTATTAATCAATCTATAAACATAATAATACACGTATTTTATTCGATACAAAATAAAATAAAATAAAAAACTACAAAAATTCACAGTGTTATCATTTCTTCACATCAAGATTTCCATATTTTCTTCAATTTCACTTTTTACATCTTCAAAATTTTCCACATTCTTCAAAATCTACAAGAAAATAAAAATAAAAAATTGATTAATGCAAGAACAATCACAAAAATGTTCATGTATATATCATGTAAGATTCACATGTGATTCACCTGTAAATTACATGTGATTTACATGTGAATCACATGTAATTCGTATGTGATTCACTTATGATTTACATGTGAATTACATGTAATTCATATGTGATTCAAATATGAATTACATGTGAATCACATGTAATTCATATGTGATTCATTTGTGATTTACATGTGAATCACATGTAATTCATATGTGATTCACATGTGAATTACATGTGATTTACATGTAATTCATATGTGAATCATCTGTGATTTACATATGAATCACATGTAATTCATATGTGATTTACACGTGAATCACATGTGATTCACCTGTGAATTACATGTGAATCATATGTAATTCATATGTGATTCACTTATGATTTACATGTAAATCACATGTAATTCATACGTGATTCACTTGTGATTTACATGTAAATCACATGTGATTCATATGTGAATTACATGTGATTTACATGTGAATCACATGCAATTCATATGTGATTCACTTGTGATTTACATGTGAATCACTACATACTTGATATTGTAGTAAGTAAAAAAAAAAGTTGTATAAAGTTGATCGATTTTTTCAACTGATTTGAAGCATTAATAGGCTGGATATGCATAACCAAACACCATTATGTAATTTAGTAGTTTTTTCATTAGAGAAACAGAAAGTGAATTGAAATTTTGTGACAATTGAAAACATAAAAAGTTTTGATTAACTTACACAAGTCCTCTAGTAAGAAAAGATCCAATCATCTTGTAAGCCTGTTAGAAACAATGAATACAATGTTCAAATAAATCCATTCACCAACTATGAGAATAAGAAAACAAAAACATGTGCAAGTTTCTTCATGTCTACTCTATTATGTTGTATCCATAACTAGATTCAAATATTGAAGCTTAAACTAGGAAAATGGGCATATATGATATATCCTAATGAAAGTGACACATCTCATCTATATTGTTATCTAAGCATACAAATTGCTAATTTATGTGAATGTTAACAAAAGCCACAAACATATAAAAGTGAATTTGAAGCTTTCTTCATCTTACCTACATTAATCAAATTTAACTACCAGAAGCATAATTGTGAAAGACTGGAATCACTTTTTGTTCTGTATACATTTTAGGAAAAATAATTGCAAGACAAGAAGCAGATGCTCACATCTTTGACAAGTAGCAAGCTTATATTAACGATAACCAACTCTAATAATTTTCTTCAACATTAACAATTTGTAACAAATTCGGTGAAGTTAAATTCATAATGCAATTCAAATCATTCGCATTCAAATCCTCAGATCACTCTTCTACCAAAGTAGAAAGACAATTCTGAAGTAAAGATTTGAATACCTTATCTTGAAAACTTTCGCGCTTTACTTTTCCTTTTGACAGCAATGTGAAATCACCTAGAGAAACAGCCACAAACTAAGGAAGTCATAATCGTGAATTTAAGTATTTAACAACAAAATAAAAGTTGAAATTCTTGGTGAATAAGTGGGGAGGGGGAGCAGGAGAGTGAAATTACCATCGCCAGTGAGAAATTTGTGGGAAAAAGTAAGAAGTAGAGCAATAATCACGGAAGAGAAGACAATCGACAACATTATTTTGGTTCAGTGTCTATAATTGTCACAATTCTTTGTATAAAAACGAAGAGAACCACAAAACATAATCAACCTAATATCCTAATACATTTTATAAGCAAAAAATTCAGCACGTAAGAAGAGAGTATAAACAATCAGCTAATAATAATAAGGCGAAAAGGTAAATGAACCTCAAACTATCGAGTGTTGTTGTGATTGAGCCATTGGAGAAGGAAGTCTTGGTGAACAAACTTAATACTCCCGATACAAGCACAAAGATATCTGAGAGGATTGCCGACGTCTCTTGAGTTCCGACAGATCCGACAAACATCTTCCTCTTCGTCATTGTCATCATCGCACCTGTTGCTCGAGATATTATTGCTATTAATAGGAACATTCGAAGCAGAATAATCCGATGAAGAATCAGGTGCGTTCCCGACTCCATCATGTGTGGCTAACACCGCCGGTTCGATCTCCATCAATTGACAATCGGAAAATCATTGTACCTGTTACAACATCTTCACGCGATCGTTGGTTGATTTATTAGGGCACGAAACTCAGAGAAGGAACAAGGATGCAGTTACCGCATTGTTCAATCTATCAATCGTCGGGGATCTTCAATGGAGATAGGGTGGTTGTTGGAGGGCGGAGGGAGGGGGTCGACGGAGAGTGAAGGAAGTGGGTGAAGAACACGATACATTGAGAGAGAGAGAGAGAGTGAAATTTTATTTCTCATATCGTAAACTGATTAGAATATTATATGGTAATTTAATATGAATATAAATGAATTATGTATTTGTTTTCTCTATAATACCCTTAGTTTTATTTAATTAAGATACCCTTGCTTATATAACTCTCTATTTATTTACAAAAACACCACCTTCCATCTTGACCTTTCTTTTTTTGATCTAACGCTCCACATTTAGTTCTCGGGTTCTCAGGAAACTTTGAGTTCTCAAATGATCATTCCTCTCTCTCTCTCTCTCTATATATATATATATATATATATATATATATATATATATATATATATATAACAACTAGTAATTTTTTTTTCTAAAAAATAGTAAAATATTATATAATAAATTAAAAAAAACTGTAAAAAAATTAAGAAAAAAATCTTAAAAAGACTTTAAAAATATCTAAAAAATGGACCAAAAGTGTAAAACTGAAAAGAAGGTGACATCATGTTCAACCTCAGATAGTGTGTGTGTGTATATATATATATATATATATATATATATATATATATATATATATATATATATGAGGTGGTTACCCTTTTAAAAATAAAATGCGTTTGTCGACAACGTAAAGACATTTTAAAAAGTTTCTTTTCACAATTTAGTGATAACCCATTTAGTTATCTCATTTTAGTCCAAAATTCATGGAGTTGAACGTAATCGTAATGTGTTTCATGTGTATTATTTGAGAAAGTAGTTTGTTGATAAAGTAGATTTGTTACCATTAGAAGAAGATCATGTTGATGAGAACCTGGAAGTTAGTTGAGCAACCTGAGAGAACCGTGGATCAAAAAGTTAGGAAATAAAAAAAATGATGATAGATTTAGTCATCTTCTAGTGGAAACATGCAACATGCCAAATCACATGTGGGAGACGGCACAAGAGATATTTGCATTTGTTCTTGAATTGCGATTGTGAGGACAAAATCGTCCTAAGGGGAGGTAACTATAACATCCTAGGGCGGGGATATTATTATATAAATAAAATACATTTAATAATTAAGAAAAACAAAGTAGTTAGTTTCTATTATTTAAGGTTATATTAAAAGCCAAAACTAACGAGTTAGAAAAAATATTTTCCATTCATCTAATATCATTAAAGATGTGGCAAACATTTCCACATGCTGTGTTGATGAATACTATGTACAAGCAAACTAGTATATTCTTTTCTTTTTCTTGTGATCTTAATTGTGATCATGATATGTAAAGTTTTAAAGAAATATATGACAATCAACCTGATCATGGAAAATTCAATTATAGAAGAAAGCTGAGGGGGATATAGATCAATAAAAAAAAATTCATCAGTGAACCTATGGTTAAGAAAGATAATTGTGGATGCTAAAATATGAAGCATGTTCAACATCAAACTCAAGCTCCTCACATATCAGTTGTTCATACTTGAATTAGGAACCGCATATGCATAGTTCATTCATTATAGACTTAAATGATACACCAACTTGGCATAATTCATTCTCCATGGGCTCATACGAGGATTTAATGGGCTAATGTTCATACCAGATGAACTTAAACGAGGAAACAATATACCAATGTTCATACCATACTTGTAACATTCATATTTGATGTAAATTAAATTTCTAACCCTTATGTGTGAGAATTGTTGCAAATTGGCCATAGTGGCATTTTTGTAATTTTTAGGCGAGGGGTGCGTACGTTGGGCGTACGGCGTACATGGCAGGATCCCAAACTCTAATTTTTAGGGTTTGTAACCTATTTAAACATCCTTAAGCCCCAAGTCTCCTTCCTTTCATCAGCCTCCAGTCCCATTTCGACCCCCTTTGCAAACCCTAATCCATTTGAGAGCTTTTTTTAGCTTGGTGTGTGTATTTTGGTGAGCTTGAAGGAGAAGAAAGGAAAGGAGATCATTCTAGCAGTGTAGAGTACCTTGGATCCAAAATCACATCATCTTTAGACACTCTTGGAAGGTAAAAAGCTCTAAAGTTGATGAAGCTATGCTTAGATCTAGTTTAGCAATAAAGTTTATGTTCTTATGGTCCCATTAGTTTTGGTATTTTGAGTATGGGTTACTCTAATCCATCTAAGCCGTCCTTTCAGATGTTTTGAAGTGTTTAGAAGCATAAAAATATGGTCTTGGTCATTATTTCCCTTCCATGCATAAGTTTGGATGTCTTAATGGGTTAAGAGGCTAGGGTTTTGGTATTTAGCACTAAATATCAATGTAAGTCCATAAAGTTTCCAACTTTATGGTTTAGGACGTTAGTCAAGGTCTGGATCTAGAATTTGGGCAAAAGAGCTTATGGATTAACCCCTTAATATGAAGGAAAAGGGTCAGGCGCATACACGATCAACCACCCATTTTTGGTCAAGACATGAGTACACCCCGTATACCAGCTGAGTACGCCCATCGTACTCAGCTGTGTTGACCAAGTTGACTTTTGACTTTGACCAGGATTTGACCAAGTTTGACCTAAAGTTATTTTGAGTATTTTGAGTTGTATTTGAGATTGGTCACTATTTGATGAATAGGTGACGGGTAGAGCTGATATTCGGAGCAGAGACCTATTCGGCTATTTGTTCAGACTATGAGGTGAGTTTTCCTCACGGTACTTGTGGATCGAAGGCACCAAGGCCGACCCACTGGATTTGATATCCTATTATATTGATTGATGTTATGTTGATTATGCGGTAGATCTGTATGATTACCTAATCATTACTGATATGTGTTAGATTGATAGATCTGTATGATTACCTGTATTGTTGGATATGTGTTAGACTGATAGATCTATAAAACTACTTGTATTTATTGGATATTGATTGTTATGGTATTTGTTGATGTGTTATGGTCGGTTAGGTTGAGGCGGTCCTGCTATGTGTTGAAGGCCAAGATACCCAGGCGGGTGCTGGTAGGTTGAAGGCCAGCGAGGTGGTCCAGTCAGACCGAAGGCCCGGAGAGCGGCCCAGAGAGGCTGTAGTCCCGACACAACGGTCCAGAAATTATGAAGGCTTTGATAGCGGTCCAGATAGTCTGTAGGCCTGGTGCGACAGTCCAGTCAGGCTGAAGGCTCATGTATGCATGTTGTTATTTGTATGGTTGTGTGTGTGGTACTTTGGGGGAACTCACTAATCTTTGGTTTAGAGTTTAAGTTTATGTTTCAGGTACTTCAGATGATTGGGGCAAGCGGAGGCGTGATCGTACACATCCTTTGATGATTTGTTTTGGGAGATTTTATGATACACTGATCTTGGGGATATTTGTATTTGACACTTGATTTGATATGGTTTTGGTTGAAAACAATGGTTTCTTTTAAGTTTAAAATGAAAATTTGTATCGTGCTTTTTGGGATGTTACAAGTTGGTATCAGAGCTCTGGTTTGAGAGAATTGGATGAGCATTTGTGTGAATCCAGATTCAAACCAAGGATCTGTAAAATTTTTCCAAATAATTTTCAAAATAAATTCCAAATAGTTTTCAAAAGTCATTTTCAATGGTAATCAGAGAAGGACGTGATGTGTACGATCAGCCGGGGCAGAAACTATACCCCAAGTTACCCACACTGTTATTTTATTATAATGATCATGATAGAACTTCATGCTAGTGATAGGCTAGGGATCTTCAGGAATTGCATGATAGAATTGCCTGGTGTATGATGCCTAATAGTCTAGGAGAACTTCTTGTATGAAATTGACATCAGTGCTGTAGTTGCTTAGTGTGTGCATCGTAGTTGTACATAACTAAGATTCTATAGCCTGAGAATATTTGATTTGGCCTTACTTCTTGTTCCTTGTATGGTTGTGATCTTAGGGTAGAATCAAGTATTTGATTGTCTATAGGATCCAGTGTTATGTATGATTAGCATATACGAGTGGTTACATGGTTGAAGTTTCATGGATGAGTATATGTGTGAGCAGCTGACCAGATGAGAATGTTGAGTCACCCTCGATAGAGTGAGGATATGATGTATGCTATCCTAGTTGTTGTACTTGTTTTGGGTAGTTTGTGATGATCCTTGAGACAAATACGGGTAGGTGTGGAAGATAGTATGGGCCCGTACTACTGGAAGCACAGGACCCGTACGCGTAGCAAGGAAGTCACAAACTCCGAGTGTTTCGTTTGTATGAGATGGTTATGATGGTATGAATTGTGGCATTTATGATATATTCTTGTTTATTTTATGTATGGTATTCATGATGGGATCAGGTTCTGGTTCTGGATCAGGATCGAGTGTCCAGGATAATCCAGGGTTGACTGATGATCAAATACGAGAGATGATTGTTGCTGAGGTATCTACTGCTATCCAGGGATCTATCTCAGAGTTGTTTGGGTCTATTAATACAACTATGATTGAGTTCTTTGATGATCGTTATGTTTCACTTTCTAAGGCTGCTGCTGCATCTACCACAGATGTTGCTTCCATTAGGGTTCGAGGGGAGAGAGCTTTCCAGTACCGGGACTTTGACAATACGAAGCCCCAGGAGTTTGATGGGGTCAAGGACCTTACTGGGGCGATGAGATGTTGTCTAATGTGGAGGGTTGTTTCTTCACATGTTTTTGCTCGGATGATCAGAAGGTCAAGTGCGCCCTGAACCTTCTCCGGTTAGGGGAGAAGATTGGTGGAGGTTGGTGACTGGTTCTTACACTCCTAAGCAGAGGGTTGCGGTGACTTTGGAGCATTTCTCGAAGATGTTCTGTACGAGATATGTTCCCCTGGTGGAGAGGGAGAGACTGGCCTAGGAGTATCTGGATCTGAGGCAGTTGACT